TATTCTTTCATAAAAGATTCAAATTTAGAATTCTTTGACTGCTTAGAGCTGTACGTTTTAAAAATGGAGATTCTGGGAGAGATTCCTCCAAAGCCCATAGTCTAGCCCCGCCACCCCCCTTTTTTTCCAACCCACAGCTGCTAACTGAAAGAAAAGAGTTCTTAAAGAGTATATAGGTGGCCACACCTGCTCAAATATCCAAGCTCTATCTAGACCTCCTGCAAACAGCTGCCACTTGGGTATTCCTCAGACCTAAAGAGTGTTTCATCCAGACAGCAACCTGTGCCCAGAGACAGACCAGGGAAGAAGCTAAAGTAGGTTCATGGCCATCATGGTCATTGTATGGGGTGTGGGTAATTCTGAGATTCTAGGTACCAAAGAAGGCAAAGGAGGGGGCACAATCATTTCATTCTAGAGTGTGCCCAGAACAGAGGCCTTCTTGCCAGGACTGAGAGTTGTTCTCTTTCTCTTCACACATACACATATACAAGTACATATCAACGATGTCAATCCCCGCTGCTTAATATCTTTTTAAAGATAGAAAGTTTAACATATCATGATGTATTAATTATCTTTTTAAGGGAGATGAATAATGACATGGATGATCCAAAGAACAAGCAATATAACACATTTGTGCTTGGGGGTACTAGAAAGATTAATTGGCTATGGATATCTAAATACTGCAAACAAAATAATGTTATACTATAAAATAGTGAGACTGAATCTCTTTTCAGAAAGGCCTGGAAAGCCGTCATGTTTCTCTAATGCATAAGAGAAATAAGGATCAGCTTTGCCTTATTCCTGGCTGCACTGCACTTTACTGTGGATATAAGGAGTACTAATTCTTCTGAGCAGAGCCAGACAAAGGACTAGTTTGGGGATGACCACTTCAGTTACATCTCTCATGCCTTTGAAAGTCCTTATCCTTCTTTCATGCTCTTTGAAATGGTTTTTCCTTCTTTCTTTCTTTTATATATTTACTGGCTTATAAAGGAAACAGATGAAGAAATGCACAGGAGGAGATAGGGAAAAAGGGCAGAGAGCTCCCATGCTGTCTTTGGACATATCACCTTCCTCCTTGAAACTGACTTTTGGGTTGTTCTAATGAACTTCATTGCGTAGGCATGATTGAAGCATGGACCACTATGTCAAAATGTGACTGGACAAAAAGGGGATCACCCAGTGCTAGCAGACTGGGGGAAGAAACCTAGCAAGGCCTGTCTAATCAGATTCTTCTTGGCCTCACTGTGCAGCATTCTTTTGGAATGAGGAGGGTCTCATGACCAACTATCAGACAAGGTAGAACAGAGAATGCTTTTATTCCCAGCAAAAGGCAAGGGGAAATTATAGTTTCTATGAATGCCAGAGGGAAGAGAAATTCTAATTTCTAAGGCCTGCCTTGGGGAGGGTGTTAGGAGCCAGGAACCATGGTTAAATACCAGAAAGTATGTATCATAATATCACATGCGACTCTTGGTTTTCAAACACAGATCCCTTCCGGAAAAACAATATACAACTCAAAAGACACCAGCATTACTGGAATTGGAATGAGTCTTCTTAAAAACATCCAACATTTTTTCCTGTGAGCAACAGCTCTCTTTAACACTGGTGACAGCTGAAGTTCAATCTTTAGTTTTCAAGTAAAAGCAATAAAGCTCTAACTATGTTTAGTTTTGTAACTGGGTAATATTGAGACATAATCATAAAAATGGAACACATGCATAAGAAGCTATGTTTTTAAAAAATAAATATTTTCTTTATTTGAAAGGTAGAGCGACAGAGAGAGAGAGAGAGAGAGAGATAGGACAGACAGACAGAAATATATGCACTGGGTTATTCCCCAAATGATTCCAACAGTCAGATTTGGGCCAAGCTAAAGCCAGGCATTAGGATCTTGATATGGGTCTCCCACGTAGGTTGCAGGGACCAAATACTTGAGTGTGTGTTAGCAGGCAGCTGGATCAGAAGCATCAGGTCTTGAACCAAACATTGCAACTTAGGCATCCCAAACTTTCTGCTAGACCCTGACCCCAGAAACTACTGTTTTTTTATGTATATGTGTGAATGTTTTTATGAGGTAATGTTTCAGCTAATGTCTATGTTTTCAGAGAAGCTAAAGACTTGAATGCAAATAATAGGAGAGGTGTCAGAATATATAAATGCAGTAGAGCAATTCTTAGTAAAATACTTCATCAGATACTTGAGCAATTATTGAAAATTTGTTTATGACAAGACTAGTGTCTGCTAATACTAACTGATAGAATAAAAAAGGGAAAGAACGATCCAACATGGGAAATGGGATACCCAGCAGACTCATAGAATGGCAGATGTCCTAAACAGCACTCTGGCCTCAGAATCAGCCCTTAAGGCATTCGGATCTGGCTGAAGAGCCTGTAAGAGTATTTTAGGCATGAAAAGCCAAGACACTCTGGCGGACAGAAAACCCTGACGGCAGAGTTACGCTGATCCCCTCTAAATGAAAGATCTCTGTGAGTGAGATACCAGTGGAAAGAACAGGCCATCAAAGAAGGAGGTACCTTTCTCTGCTTTCTCTGAAGGGAGGATAGAACTTCCACTTTGACTATGACCTTGTCTGAATAAGATCGGAGTCGGCGAATACAAAAGGCTTCCATAGCCTTGGCAACTCATGACAGGAGCCTAGGGAGATTACTGACACCATAAACAAGAGTGTCAAACTGTTAAGTCAACAACTGGAGTCACTGTGTATTTACTCCTCATGTAGGATCTCTGTCCTTAATGTGTTGTTCAATGTAAATTAATGCTATAACTAGTACTCAAACATTATTTTACACTTTATGTTTCTGTGTGGATGCAAACCGTTGAAATCTTTACTTAGTATATACTAAGTTGATCTACTGTATATAAAGATAATTGAAAATGAATCTTGATGCGAATGGAATGGGAGAGGGACCAGGAGAGGGGAGGGTTGTGGGTGGGAGGGAAGTTATGGGGAGGGGAAAGCCATTGTAATCCATAAGCTGTACTTTGGAAATTTATATTTATTAAATAAAGTTAAAAAAATTGTTTATGTCAGGTCAGGCATTTAGCGTACTGGTTAGGATTCCACTTGGAACAACTGTATCCTATACTACAGAGCCTGGGTTAGAGCCCTAGCTCGGTCCCAGTTTTAGCTTCCTGATAATGCACACATTGGGGAATGACAGCAAACAATCACTCACGTGTCGGTTCCTGCTACCCATGTGGTTGACGTGGATTGAGTTCCAGTGTTAGCCTGGCCTCCTCCTGGCTTTTGTAGGCCTTTGGGGATTAAGCCAGTGCATGGGAGCTTTGTCTCCCACTGTTTTTCTGCCCTTCAAGTAAATAAATAAAAGTTTAAAAGTATGCTAAATAGTCAGGTTTAATAAGATACTTAATAAATTGAGGTAACTTGAGCTAGTGAATTTAATCTGTTGTGATATGATTGGCAAGGATTTGTTATGGGACAAGGTAAATTTCTTATATTGTAAGTGATCTACATCCTGGAATATGATCATTATCATTACTTGTGAGTCTCCTTATTACTAACCATATTCTCAAATATTTTAAATGGAAGAAGTGAGCAAGAATGCAAACTCCTGGGGACAAGGCCATCTCACTTCTTCACGACCCTTTTTCTAGAGACAAGAATCTAAAAAGTCTGGAGTAGGTTCCTTAGTAACAATGCATTAGTTAATGAAAGAGGTGAATTAATTTATATCAAGTATTAACTCTTGCCTAGGAATTAGTGTTTTAGATTGGTTATTGTTTACTTTGTTTTATGGCATTAACTCTTCTGGTACAGATATAGAAATGGAGGTTCAATGAATCTGTATCATTTCCCAAACAAAACATGGCTTGTGAAATCATGGAGTCACCTACCAACTGCCATAATTTCTATTCCCTCATAATATTTATACACATCACAACTGAAACCTTTTAGGTCTAACTGGAGTGTTAATATATTAGTTATATACGAATATGGTCTGTAACTTTCTTCCAAACCTAGCAGTCAAACTGAAACAAGGAAGTGAGTGATCTGTGTTCCAAAATGGCAGATCTCTTTGTCAAGTGTTCCTGGTTGCTCTGCCTTGATGACAGGCAGAAGTCCCAAGCAGACTACTAACCTCAGCCTGGGAGCAATCAGTGGCCAAGGCATCTGAGGGCCACATGTAGCACAAAGAGCAGAGTAGGGCAAAAATCAAGTGGCTCTGGCCCTTCACAGTTACTTGTTCTCAACCTTTCTTTCCAATTCACAGTCCTCCTGGACTCTGGACCTTGGTTACCCAGAACAATGGTCCTGGTCAGTGAGTGCTTGGCCTTGCCAGCCTTCCCTGGACTGCTGCCTAAAATATAACAACTTTGTGCTCCTCCCAGCCTCAACTCTATGGCTCATAGTCTCCCTGAGGCTCTTAAATTCAGTATCTGCCAGAACCTACTGGCTAGTTAGATTCCTTGGGCCAGCGCCGCGGCTCACTAGGCTAATCCTCCACCTTGCGGCGCCGGCACACCGGGTTCTAGTCCAGGTCGGGGCGCTGGATTCTGTCCTGGTTGCCCCTCTTCCAGGCCAGCTCTCTGCTGTGGCAAGGGAGTGCAGTGGAGGATGGCCCAAGTACTTGGGCCCTGCACCTCATGGGAGATCAGGAGAAGCACCTGGCTCCTGCCATCAGATCAGCGCAGTGTGCCGGCCGCAGCGCGCTGGCCGCGGCAGCCATTGGAGGGTGAACCAACGGCAAAAGGAAGACCTTTCTCTCTGTCTCTCTCTCTCACTGTCCACTCTGCCTGTCAAAAAAAAAAAAAAAAAAAGATTCCTATGTGTGCTGTCTGGGCCCAGAGAACCTCATAGCCACCTAAGAAATGGACTACAGGAAACCTTAGGAGTTCTTAAAAACTTTGAAAAATATGGGGCCAGCACGTGGCATAGTGGATTAAGTTGCTGTCTGTAATGTGGACACGCCAGATGAGTGCTGGTTTGAGTCCTTGCTGCTCTACTTCTGTTCCAGCTCCCTGCTGATGCACCTGGGAAAGCAGTGGAAGAAGGTATAAGTGCATGGGCCCCTGCTAACAACATGGGAGACGGATGGATTTGCAGGCTCCTGGCCCAGGTGCAGACTTTGAAGTCATTTGGGGAGTGAATCAGTGGATGAAAAATCTTTTTCTCTCTCAATTTCGTCTCTTTGTCTCTCTCTGCTTGAAACTCTGCCTTTCAGATAATTAAAATAAAAAATTTTTAAAATATATTGGAAAATAAATTAGCTGTTATTCTAAACTGCATTCTCTGTTAGTGTACTACAATTACGTGGGTCTGCCCTGCCCTCTGTTTGGATAAACTTAAGAACCTTCAAGAATATAATGATTATCTGCAGTTACAAATACATTGCAGTGTGTATCTGTTGGCTGAGTGTGAATCATTTTGGGTTGTTTTGCTATGGTGTTAAATGCTAGTGTAAGCTGAAAGAAAATGGATTTATGATAATAATATCTTTACTGTAAATACTGATCAAACAAATCCACATCAGAGACTGTCCCTACTGTTAGCAAAAAGCATACATGAAGTGACATAATGACTGAGATGGTTTAGAGAGAACACTTTAAAAAATGTGGTGTATCTTTAATGTCTTTAAGAATTGTTTTGCTCACCAAGGACAGAGAACAAGGAGGGAGGTAGAGAGAAAATGTTGACTGGCCTTATCTAACAAGAAACTGAAATAATGTTACCAAGCTTACATTTTCACTCTAAAATAATGTATATTCAAATCATTGTCTTCTGTTCTGAAATGTGAAAGTTATTCATCATAAATTGATTTCAGAGTCCCTAGGGGAAAAGCAATTAACGTGTTTTCTAGGTTTTCACCTGACAAATTGTACAACAGGGAGATAAAATCTGGGAAGTTGCTCAACTGAACTAATTTGTTTAACACCTGATATTAAATATTTGATTAAATTTTGCTTACCAAACTCAGTTTGGAAATAGTTGAAAATGTTCATTTCAGCATATCTCAGACATGAAATGTGCTTTCAGATTGTCACTAGATTGATCTATATAGAAAAAGGTATATAACTTTAGGATATGTCAGATTTAATACTGTTGGTATCTGGGAGTTTTCTGAGGCATTTGGAGGTGCTGAGGCATCTAGAATGAGCTATGGAGTGGCAGTAAGAATTCCACTGGCTTCTGGTTCCAGTTCTACCAATAACTAGTTTGGTGAGCTTGGGCAGGTCATGTGATCTCCTTTAGCTTTGGATTTCTTTCTTTGTAAAGGAGGGGCTGGGCTCTGATTTCTATGGTCAATTAAATATCTAAGGTCAATAAAATTTCTAAGGTCAATTAATGAAATCATGTGATCTTTCTAGATGTTTCTTTCAAACTACACTTTGCTTATTTATTTGTGTCTTACAGGTATTACTGGACCTTATCCAGTCATAGCTTCAGCAAACAATACTGCCACAGAAAGGCTACTTGCGTCATTCAATTATATTTTTTCACACTCAAACAATACCTGGCAAATAAAGAAAGTTTTCTAAATTGTGACTGGCACAATCATACTTGGTCAGCTGTGCTGAGAATTGAAGCAAACTATATAAATATTTAGGGCACAGAATGAAGATGAGGCCTGATCTGCTTTTACCTGCATGGTGAACCAAACATGTTATAAATTGTGGACATGGGACAAAGGCCAAAATCCAGCAACTTCAGTACTCTCATTTGGCTTTTCCACTAGAATGCACAAATACACCACAACTTTTTCTAGCTCTCTTGCTCCTGAATCTTCTATTGCATTTACCACCATACTCCAATTCTATTCCTGGGCTCCCTTGTTTCTTTGACATTATCCACTCTTCTACTGTGTCTCTCATTCTCATTCCCATAGCTTAACTTTAGCCACAATAAAATATGTATTTTTAAATCTTGTTGTTTTTTGTATACTGAATTTTCCTCTCAGAATTTTCTTAATTTGTCATTAATATATGGACAGCTCCCAAATTTATATTTTTACCTTGTATCACTTTTGTACAGATAAAACTGCCCACAGACTAAATTCTTATTCAGTAATTCATGTATTAAAAAGAACCCATAACATGAAATGATTCTTTAGGTAAGATGAGATGCATGAAGGATATTGTTTAAATATGTCATTTCTAGAAAGTGGTCTGTGACATGTCTCAATATTTGCTGCATATTTAGAAAGCATTCTCAGTTTTATATAGGACTAACTCAGAAGTTATATTTTATAGAGTTAATTTTTTATGATTCAGAAGTTATTTAGGAGAAATAGAATATAAGAATAAGACTTGTAGGGTTTTAGAATATATTTTCAATTAAAAGGAATCTTACTCTTGCAGGTAAACAAGAAGCTTCTGGTGTGCTAGTTTCTTGAGACTGCTCTCATGCATGTCATAAAATTACTCAGACTTTTCTTTCTACTTTAGAAACCTAAAGCATACTCTATGTCTCCAGCCCAAACCAGCTTTCTCCATTTATGTTTATAATAGTGTCATTCCCCAGGTCACCCAGCCTTAAAAAATACAGAAAGTCATGGCTTTCCCCTTTCCTCTTCTCTACTTGTATGCACTCTCTTTACTTTCAAAACCACGTCTCTGCATCTCTTCTGCACCCACCCAACTCAATGTTCTCATAACCTGCAATATTGCAAGTCTACTAGCTGTAGTCTCAATTCAAGAACCCCTTTCTAAATCTCCACTGAAACTTACCAATTTCATCTTTGTCAGCATTTTATATGATACTTCTATATCATTAGCAACTTTCTAAGACTACAGAATGAAGTCTAAATGCTTCACATACAAGACCCACCATAAACAATCTGATCTCTTCAAGAAAAGTTAACTTCTATGTTTAGAAAAGGAAAAAGATGGTTTAGAACTGAAAATCAGCACTCTGGCCTCATAATCAGCCCTTAAGGCATGCGGATCCAGCTGAAATGTCCATGAGAGTATTTCAGGCATGGAAAGCCAAGACACTCTGGCCAAAAAAAAAAAAAAAACTAAATGAAAGATCTCCACGAGTGAGATCCCAGTGGAAAGAATGGGTCATCAAAGAAGGAGGTACCTTTCTCTGAAGGGAGGAGAGAACTTCCACTTTGACCATGGCCTTGTCTAAATATGATCAGAGTCAGTGAACTCAGGGGGCTTCCATAGCCTTGGCAGCTCATGACAAGAGCCTAGGTTGATTGCTGATGCCATAAACAAGAGTGTCAATTTGTTAAGTCAACAACAGGAGTCACTGTGCACTTACTCCTCATGTAGGATCTTTGTCCTTAGTGTGCTGTACATTGAGATTTAATGCTATAACTAGTACTCAAACAGTATTTTTCACTTTATGTTTCTGTGTGGGAGCAAACTGTTGAAATCTTTACTTCATGTATGCTAAACTGATCTTCTGTATATAAAGAGAATCGAAAATGAATCTTGATATGAATGGAAGGGGAGAGGGAGTGGATAAGGGGAGGATTGCGGGTTGGAGGGACGTTATGGGGGGGAAGCCATTGTAATCCATATTCTGTACTTTGGAAATTTATATTCATTAAATAAAAGTTAAAAAAAAGAAAAGGAAAAAAATAGTTTAGAACTGAGAAATCTAGAGAACTTTTGATACTTAGTATAGATTATTTCTTATTTAATCTGTCAACAGGTGTGTTTAAAGATTATCTTATTTTGCAGTCAAACAAAAATTAAGAATACAACTATGGAAAAGGACTTTTAGAGCAAATATATTGAGGAAGGGAATACAAGCATACTTCAAAAGGTTAATGGAGAACTTAAAAGATAAGTTTATTTTGGTGCAAAAAATGTTATCCATGCACTTTTTCCCCCACAATATACATTTTTCATGAAATTTTGAAGACCTCTCATGAACATCGATTTCAAAATTTTTGTACCAAAAGAAACATCCTTTATACTCCTTTTCCATGAACTTTTTGAAGTAACCTCCTATGAATGGCAGAAAGCAAAAGGATCTGGGTTCCTTTTTTGAGTGAGCCCAGGGTCTCCTAGAAAATAACAAAGGTGGGGAACATCTGACCACAAAATTATTTGTTCTGACCTGCCTAGGCAACTTTAGGCAGGACTCAAAATTCAATGAATCTATAGCAGGCTAATTTTTAAGCTGATAATTCTGTATGGCCTGCAAATGATGTTATAAATATCCAAATGGCCCTTAGCAGAAAAGTTTTCCCACTCCTACAAAGCACAAGATAGAAACATCTAGAATGAGAGCATTTGGTGTCAGGCTCAGACTAGACATAAAGGAAGACTTTAATGTGCTTGTGCATTAAGGCCTAAGAGAAAAGACTTATAGAATAAAGACTTACTATGATCCTTTAAAAATCTATCAAATTTATTTGAAATCTATTCTCAGAATTACTGCATGTGAGACTTTATGGAAGCTGAAAATAGATAATGATACTTAATGTCATCAAATAGAATTGGTGACTCAATCCAACTACTTGAAACAAAGTAAAATATGGTATAGATCTTACAAATGACTGCCCAGGTCCAAATCCTGGTTATGCCCTTATTCGCTGTATATCCTTAAGCAAGTTACTTTATTTTTCCTGTGTTTCAGTTTCCTTAACTACAAAATATAGACAATAATACAATATTGTACGGTGCTTGAAAAGGCACCAAGTACATATTTGAGTACTTGTTCACAAACCTGTACAGTGAGCAGTATTATACCTGTTTGAAAAGATAACAAATCTATGCCATAGAGAGATTGGGACTTGCTAAAAGTAACACTGCTGCTAAGTGCTATAAACCTGTGCAACTCTAAAACCTTTACTCTTTCTCCACACTGCCTTATTGCTATGTATTGCTGAAAATGAAAGAATAGATAGGACATAGGATCTACCTTCAAGGACAACACTATAATACAGAAAAAAGCAAGACACGGATGAACAATTCTGCATAAGTGTTCAAGTTACAATGGTATTGTGGAATGTAATCTTGCCTTGAAGGGATAGAGATGACTTCTACAGAAATTTACAGCTAAACCATATCTTGAAGTGTGAGTAGAAATTAGGTCACTAGCTGCGGTTGGGTAGAAAGCACTCTAAACAGAGGGGAAACAGCAGGGAAATGAGTGGAGAGGATGCTGAACACACCAAGGTGCAAAGGCCGTGAAAGGGCACAGAATTCTGGTGCTTGCAATAGGCCAGCTCTGCTAGAATATGGAATGTGGAGTAGGGATGAGGCCTGATTTTAAAAGGACAAAGTCAGTGTGGTTCTGTTCTACCAGCTGTGGAACTACAAATCAAGCAGTAGAGGCAACACTACCTGCAACAATCAGTATGCTTATTGGATATATAGGCTGGTGCTTACTGGTATTGAATCATGGGTTAAAGTCCTTTTAAATACAATATATGCCTCAGACCTAAGGTGATCAGATCTGTCTATAGGTGGTATATACTTTCCAAGGAAAATAACCTCTTAACAATTGAAAAAAATATCTCTTACTTCCCACTTCCAGGTATTCTTTCTTAAGGAAACTTATGTATGTTAAAATTGCATGTTTAAATTTCTTTGTTTCTAATGGTAAAGCATCTTTAGTACTTATTGTGTGAAAAATATATTTTTAGTGCTTTATTCTAACAGTTCCCATGGTAGTAGACTAGTATCCTAGAGATGGGCTACAGAGAAGTGTTGGTATAAGAAGCACTTTAAACTCCATTCCTTTTTTAAAAATTTTATTTAAGTTATATAAGTTTCGTGTATGTTGTATATACATAATTAGGAACGCAGTGAGACTTCCAACCCTACCCTCCCTCCCATGCATGATCCAACCCTTCTTTTTCCTCCCTCTCCCATTCCTAAATTTTTACAAAGATCTACTTTCAGTTTACTTCATGATCATAAAGTTAACCTTATACTAAGAAAAAGAGATCAACAAATGGTATGAAGAAAAAAAAAAAGACACTGTTCCTCAACAGAAAAGACAATGGCTATAAACATCATCAAATCTAAAATGTCCATTTCACTCCAATACATTACATTTCATGTACTCTATTAGTTACCTTGGACCAAGGAAAACTATCAGTCTTTTGGGGACTGGCTTATTTAACTAAGTATAATGGCTTAGTTGCATCTATTTTGTTGTAAAAGATAGGATTTCATTTTTTTTTTTTTTTACAGCTGAGTATATATGCACTGCTCCATAGTGTAGATAGACCATAATTTCTTTGTCAGTAGACATAAACTCCATTATTTAAAATAGATTTCTTATCAGTGGGATTCAATAGTCAGTACAAGTTTACTATTAAAAGGGTTATTAAGAAGTAATAAAAATATAAGCCTAGTAGGGCACCTTAACAAATTTCAGCATAATATGTTTTAACTCTTAAAGATAACTTCATACATGGTAAAAGTACTTCATTTAATGCCTTCTTGTATAGTTTGTGGTAAAGTTATCTGCATGATCCCAGTATGTTGAAAAACTACATATTTTAACAATATTAAAATCTGAGACTGTTAAAACTCCTGGGATGTAATAATCTTTTACCGATGAAGTATGTAGTAAGAGTCAGGTGCTTGGTAAGCACTAGGAAGACATAGCTGTGACCAGGAAAAAAATTTATATGGATTAAAAACATAAAATAACAGGGCTGGTATTGTGGCACAATGAGGGAACTACCTGAGATGCTGGCATTCCGTATGAGCACCAGTGTAAGTCCCAGCTGCTCTGTTTCTGGTCCAGCTTCCTGACAATGTATCTGGAAAGACAATGAACACATTTGTGGAGTGAACCAGAGGATGGAAGATCTCTTTTCTCTCTGTCTCGCCCTCTCTGCCACTCTGCCTTTCAAATAAATAATAATCTTTTTTTCTTAAAAAAGATAGAGTGAAACCTCTCTGTCAACCCTTAAAAACATAAAATAACCATGATGTAATATGATATTTAGTAAAATAGAAGTATGTATCAAATACTTATAGACTTGAGAATCAAGAGAAGACATTCCTAACTTGGAGGAAAAAAAAAAAAAACCTGATAATTAAGCAATTCGGTACAAATTTTTTTACCCAGTAACCAGACTTGGGAAGGTTGAGTCATTTATATAGATCAGAAAAACATCTGATTAGCATTAACTTGCCTAGTGTTTGATCCTAATTCAAATGATAATACTGAAATTATTAGTAGTTCTCTTATCTTTTAAAACAACTTGGCCTCCCTTAGAAGCATTTTAAAAAGCAAATTATGCAACATTCACCTGGGAAACTAGAAAAGTTTCCTTAGCTTATATACTATCTTTCAGTCAAGTCACTATCTAAAGTATGACGGCATTCCTGTGAGCACTTACTGTGGCTTATATAATTTTTTTCAATTAAGATTCTTCTGAGGGGCTGGCACTGTGGCTCAGCAAGTTAAAGCCACGGCCTGCAGCACTGGGATCCCATATGGCTGCCAGTTCAAGCCCCAGCTGCACCACTTCCATACAGCTCCCCACTAATATGCCTGGGAAAGCAATGGGATATGGAACAAGTGTTTGGGCCCCTGCCACTTACATGGGGGACCCAGAAGAAACTCCTGGTTCCTGATTTGGCCTGGCCCAGCCTAGCTGTTGTTGTGATCTGTGGCATGAACCAGCAGATGGAACTCTCTCTGTCTCTGTCTCTTTCTTTCTCTCTGTAAATCTGCCTTTCAGATAAATAAGTAAATCTTCAAATATTCTTTTGAGACTTGAAAATGTACAAAACATTTCTTACAAACTGTGAAGAGTTTTTTTTTTTGGTTGCTTTTATTTTTTTTGTTGTTGTTGATGATATTTTCCCCAAAGAAACATTTTATTTAATGAGTACAAATTTAATAAGTACAACTTTAGGAATATAGTGATTCTTCCAACCATACTTGCCCTCCCACCCCACTTCCTCCACCCTCTCCCATTCCAAATCCCATTATCCATTCAGAAAACAAAAACAAAACAAAAAACAATTGTTCCTCAACAGTCAAGACAAGAGCCGCTCAAGTCATTGCTTCTCAAAGTGTCAATTTCATTTCTACAGATTACCTTTTAGGTGCTCTATTAATTATCACAGATAAGGGAGAATGGTATTTGTCCCTTTGGGACTGGCTTATTTCACTAAGTATGGGGTATTTTCCAGATTCATCCACTTTATTGCAAATGATTAGATTTCTTTTTTTTTTACCACTGTGTAGTATTCCATAGAGAACATATCCCATAATTTATGTATCCAGTCTTCAGTTGACAGGCATTTTGGTTGATTCCATGTCTTAGTTATTGTGAATTGAGCTGCAATAAGTATAGGGGTATAGATAACTCTTTTATTTGCTGGTTTCACTTCCTGTGGGTAAATTTTCAGAAATGGTTTTGGTTGGGTCATATGGTAGGTCTATATTCAGATTTCTGAGGTATCTCCAAACTGATTTCCATATTGGTTTTACCAGTTTACCTTCCCACCAACAATGGAGTGGGGAACCTTTTTCCTCACATCCTAGCCAGCATTTGCGGTTTGTTGATTTCTATATGAAAGCCATTCTAACTGGTATAAGGTGGAACCCTGTTGTGGTTTTGATTTCAATTTCCCTGATGGCTAGTGAGGCTAGTGATCCTGAACACTTTTTCATGTGCCTGCTGGCCATTTGTATTTCCTCTTTTGAAAAACATCTGTTTAAGTCCTTGGCCCATCTCTTAATTTGGTTGTTTGTTTTGTTGCTGTGGAGTTTCTTGCTCTCTTTATGTATTCTGATTATTAATCCTTTATCAGTTGCATTGTTTGCAAATAATTTCTCCCATTCTGTTCATTGACTCTTCCCTTTCCTGAGTGTTTCTTTTGTAGTACAGAAGTTTCTCAGTTTGATGTAATACCATTTGTTAATTTTGGCTTTGATTGTACCTCCAGGGTCTTTTCTAAGAAATCTTTGCCTATGCCAATGGGTTCCCCAATGTTCTCTGGTATCAGGTTATAGATTTAGGTCTTTAATCCATTTTGAATGGATTTTGGTATAAGGTGTAAGGTAAGGGTCCTGCTTCATATTTCTGCATGTGGAAATCCAGTTTCCCAGTACTATTTGTTGAAGAGACTGTCCTTGATTCAGGAATTGGTTTTAGCTCCTTGGTCAAATATGAATTGGTTGTAGATGCTTGGATTTATTTCTGGTGTTTCTATTCTGTTCCCTTGGAATAGCCATCAGTTTTTTTACCGGTACCAGGCTGTTTTAACTGCCTTGTAGTATTTCTCTTGAAATCTGGAATTGTGATGACTCCAGCTTTGTTTTTGTTGTATAAGATTGCTTTAGATATTCGAGGTCTTCTGTGTTTCCATGTGAATTTCAGCATCATTTTTTTTAACTGAGAAGAATGTCTTTGGTATTTTGATTGGCATCACATTGAATCTGTAAATTGCTTTTGGAAGATGGATATTTTGATGATATTGACTCTTCCAATCCATGAACATGGCA